GAAATGCAACATTTAGCACAGAAGTTCAAAGTAGTCTATTTTAGATACACAGCTTGAAATATCTAACATACGTTTAACTAAGAGCCAGTGGGGAAGTGTTAAGGGTATAATGTCTGAAGCCCATCACACAGGAACTTGGTAGTAAAGGAGACTATTACACAGAATGATTTGCATTTCTAGCTTTTCTGGTGGGACTCTTCAATAATATTAATCATCAGCTTCTTTGTCCCTTTCCCATCCATTGTCTTACAAAATATTTTTTTCCAGAAAGTAAGAAAATGCCAAAACTTGGTCAGGTACTGCTTTTTGACAGTCTGAAGAGTGCTGTGCAGAAATACCATTTGTGTCTAGTACTGAATCAAACTTGCTTCTTTTTTGTTTTGACATTGCTACTGTTGTGTCTTATACACTAGCAAAACAGCAGTAGGTATTCTGTGATTTTTGAGGGCTTTGAGCTTTGGGTAGTATGATAGTTGGCACAAAAATTATTTAAGAATTTTTTCATAGTCAGAGTGACAGCTGGATTAGCAACAGTCTTTCCTTTTCTGTGTTTGCTATTTTTGTGTTTTAAGATCTGCAAGCTCTTGTTTCTCAACATGAAGGTGCTATTTCAACAAATATTTATTTCCCACTGTAGCAAAGATTGAAGTATTTCATAATGCCAACCTTGACATCCATATTAGTGTTAACTGGAGTCAGTCTGATGTCCCTCTATACGTAAAGTGGATTGTATTTTCTTGTTCTCAGGTTTTTGTAACTGTTAAAAGATTTGGTCTTCTATTTCATACTGGTAGTAGGAACTCAAGTTTCCTACTGCTTTTAGTAACTTAGAATTGCTGAGAATCATCAGGCTGTCATCTCTTTCTAATGCTTAGAATTACACTTTTGCAGTAGGAACATCAGATGCCAAATTGCTGCTTTCTATTTAGTGCTTTTTTCCTTGCTTTACCGTGGGTGATGGTATTTTTGGGGTGCTGATCACAGCTACCTCCTTGCTCTGTGTGTGGATTCACCAGTACAGTCAAAGAACTGCAGGGAGCAAGCAGGCATTGATTATTTAATCTGCACTTTTGTCTGCCTGTGTTCAGCTGATTCCCTAATAAGAAACACCTATTGACTCTGGTAATGGTCAATCAAAGGCCTGCAGGGAAACAGGGATCATGCACTGTATTTCAGCACTGCGAGGGAGTCATATATAAGATATTGAGTTTATCATAGCTAAAAGAATATGGGAGTGATAAATCTTGCAAGCATTTACAAAAGGTGGTGGACTTGATTACACATATATACACACACACACACACATATTAAATTTTGCGGCTTTTTTAGGAATAGCCAACCAACTCACCTTCACCAAGGGATCTTATAGGGGTATAGATATTTAAAACTCATAAACTAAGCCATTTTCTAGAGCAAGGAAGCAGTAATGGTTGTTATTGTTGAGACTTGGTCTTCTGGTCTGTTCTAAAGACCACCAATGATGGCAATTCTGTAAATTACCAGGTATTACATTCCAATGCTTAGTTTGAGACCAATCTTTAGTTTGAGACCAGTTGTCCTACCCACCACAAATAAGATGAAAGTGTTGTTCTCTAGTTTGTTTACCCCCATTGTCTTCCCTTTCTGTGGTTAAAACATTCCTAGTCTTTGCTTTGAGTGCTCTATAGACCTCACTGCTTTACTATGGACCTGTCCAGTGGGATCGAATGCACCCTCAGCAAGTTAGTGGATGATGCCAAGCGGGGTGGTGCATTTGACATGCTGGAAGGAATAGATGCTGTCCAAAGAGACCTGTACAGGCTGGAGAGGTGGGCCCATGAAGTTCAACAAGGCCAAGTGCAAGGTCCTGCACCTGGGTAGGGGAATTGCAAGCACAAATACAGGCTGGGGTGTCAGTCGATGAAAAACTCAACATGAGCAGGCAATGTGCACTTGCAGCCCAGAAGACCAACCACATCCTGGGCTGCATCAAAAGAAGTGTGGCCAGCAAGGCAAGGGAGGTGATTCTGTCCCTCTACTCTGCTCTGGTGAGACCCCACCTGGAGTACTGTGTCCAGTTTTGGGGCCCCCAATATAGGAAGGACATTGAGCTGTTGGAGCAGGTCCAGAAGAGGGCCACAAAGATGATCAGAGGGCTGGAGCACCTCCTCTATGAGGACCAGCTGAGAGAGTTGGGGCTGGTCAGGCTGGAGAAGAGAAGGCTCTGGGGGGACCTTATTGTGACCTTCCAGTTCCTGAAGGGATCCTACAGGAAAGCTGGGTAGGGACCTTTTACAAGGGCAGGTAGCGATAAGACAAAAGAGGAGGGCTTTAAACTGGAAGAGGGTAGATTTAAACCAGATATTGTGAAGAAATTACTTGCTGTGAGGATGGTGAGACACTGGAACAGGTCGCCTGGGGAAGTTGTGGATGCTCCATCCCTGGAAGTGTTCAAGACCTGATTGGACACGGCTTTGACAAACTTAGTCTAGAGGGAGGTGTCCTTGCCCGTGGCAGGGGCGTTGAAATAGATGGTCTTTAAGGTCCCTTCAAACGCAAACTATTCTATGATTCTAGGATTCTCCAATATTTTCAGATTTTCTTCAGCATATTGCCTGACATTGGCTATATTAGTAGTAGCTTTTACTACTTAGTAGTAGCTTTCTACATAGTCCTCATCATTTGAGTTGGAGGACTGTTTCATGTTTTGCAGTCTGTATACCTGTGTAGGTATCTTAATGCCATAAACACCTATTTAAATTATAGGATGACATTTAGATTAAAGTTCATTTGGGGTTATAGGGTACCTTCATATGTAACTATTGAGAGATTTCTTTGTATTTATTAATAACAGTACTTTTGAGGAGGGGATGAATATAATAAATGTAAGAGCAATTTATGAGCCTGCTATAAAGTTACAATTTATTCTTTTTTTTGCAGGCTGCTGTAGTGCTCAAAACCTTGGGATATAAAATGCTAATTGTGTGCTTAGTTTTCCTGTATAGCACTGATCTGCTCCACCATCTCATGCCCATTTCTCACAAGATCGATGTTTTAGTACTTTTATGACTTTTCAGTTAAGAAATAAAAGGAAAGGTTTTTCTATCTGAATCAGAATGGAAATGAAAACATCCTTTAAGTGGCTTGTAAATAATATTGAGCTAATGTTTGTATTTGTAATTCTTTAGGTATGCCATCTCAGGAATACATTTGAAATTTGGTCTAAGAAATGGGGCTAAAGTAGGATACATTCTGTTGTTCATTTGGGCAAATGTAACTTATTGCTAGCTGTTGTGGATTGCAGGTTTTTTTGTTACTGTCCTTGACTAATCGAGTTGAGAGCAAGTTCTAGAGCTGATTGTTGTAATGCATGCTAGTACTTTTCTGTCTTTTACAAGATGAGTTAGTAATAAAATGTTTCCATCTCCAAAATATGATAACTTCTGACAAATAATACTTTTTTTACCTTCTTTTCAGATATTTTCCAATTTATCCCTGAATGAGCGTTGCCTTTCAGCATCATTAGTCTGTAAATATTGGCGTGACCTCTGTTTAGATTTTCAGTTTTGGAAGCAACTGGATCTCAGTAGTCGTCAACAGGTATGAAGGTATCATTGTGGAAAAATTGTGTTTTAGTGACTCAGACTTTGTTCTCAGAACTTGTACTCTTTGGGTAAACAAAAGAAACCCATTAAATGGTGATGTCTGTGCTTTCAGGGATTTTTTCTGCTAGAATCTGAAAATATCTGGACCACTAGATTAACTCCTTTGGATGTAGCTTCTTTTGACTGAGATCAGTTGTTACACAGTGTGAGGACAAGTGCTGTTTGAAATGGATTGCAGGTTACTTGTCTCAGGTCTGTGTCACGTAGTGGTAGTTCCATTCATGAGAACTATCAGACCTCATACTAATTGAAAGACATATATGTGCTTTTCTGAGGATGGTCTAGTTTCAAGAAAGGTCACCTAACTGGTGCTTGCTCTGTTTGTTCTAACAATTTTAAAAAAAATTTTCTTCAACTGATGTTGTTACTGAAATATCAGATCAACAACTTTCTAAGACCAATTTGTAGAAGTTAGAAAGCAAGACATTTAATTCAGTGGTGGGAGCAAAACATGAATCATTTCATAAAGCAAATGCTCAAAATATTAGTGGTTGGCAGTAGCTTGTATGTGCCTTACACGTACACATTCATGACATAAAAATTTACATATATATTACATTTCCAGAAAAAGTTTACGTATGCACATTTCCAGTAACTAATTAAAATATCTACAAACTAATTGTGAATGGTCTTCCAGTGGTCTGAGGAATAGTCACTTAAGCTGTGTCTTCATGGAGTCTCCTTATCTTTCAGGTTTCTGTGCTTTTGTTTTCAGAAAGCCTGACTCCTCAAGTTGGTCTGAGTAGGGTGATTCGTTAACTTTTTATCTATGCCTCCATCTCACAAGGCAAAGTCAGCAAAGAGGGCCTGAGACAGACTAAAATCCTGTAGTCCTTATGTAGCTTCTTGCTACCTAAAGTTAGTCAGTATACATGTATAAGAGTGTAAGAATATTTCTTGTATTATCCAGTCTATCAGGTTGCAATGTGGCTTCTATTGATCAAAAGACAGCTTGTGTCTTTTTAGGCTTTTAGCTGATCCTAGAATTTAGTAAGTCTGGGATTCATGGATTTCATCTTTGGGTGACTTTGTTTTCTTTGGTTACTGTTAGGTTTTTGTCTATTTTTTGGCTGGGTGGTAGTTGTTTGTTTAGGCGCTTTTGTGGGTTTTGGTGGGTTTTCTTTATTTGTTCATTTGGAGGGGAGTTGTTGGGTTTTTGTTTGTTAGTTTTTCCAATTTGTCATGTTTGCTAGGTAACACCTGCCTAATGAAATAGCAAGAAAAAGATTAGGCTTTTACTACTAATGGAAAACAGATTGAATGCAGCAGAAAAAGTGTTTCTCAACTGTGTAAGACAAAAACAGAAGGGATATGTGTTGCTCTTTTGCCTTTTCTAGGCATAAAGCTAAATCTCATCTATCCTAAGTGGTGGATAAATATTTCTTAATGGTTTTGTTAGAAAGACTTCCATCGTATGTGACCTCAGGTTTTTTGGAACCAAACTTTTAAAGTGAGAGAGTTCTATAAGTTGTGTCTTACCTGCTTTGATTTTGTTTGTTCTGTTTTAACTTACAAGCTTGAGCATGAAAAATATCTCATGTTTCTTACCTGATTTGTAGGACTAGCTCATCTTAAAATTATTGTCATGTTTGCTAAGTAAAGTGTGTGCAGGTACGAAGTAGATAGGATCTTTTTTTTCCAAAGGAACTCCAGGAAAATAGTATGTCTGATTTAACGGTCTTTTGTAGCCTAACACTTAAAATATACAAGCATTCTGTTTTAAAACTGAGCAAATTGCTTGAAAGAGTTCAACACAGAGCCACAAAGATGACAGAGGGAGTGGAGCATCTCCCTTATGAGGAGCGGCTGAGGGAGCTGGGTCTCTTCAGCTTGGAGAAGAGGAGACTGAGGGGGGACCTCATTGATATTTGTAAATTTGTAAAGGGCGAGTGTCAGGAGGAAGGAGCCAGGCTCCTCTCAGTGACAGCCAATGACAGGACAAGGGGCAATGGGTGCAAGCTGGAGCATAGGAGGTTCAATCTGAACATGAGGAAAACTTTTTTACTGTAAGAGTTATGGAGCACTGGACCAGGCTGCCCAGAGAGGTTGTGGAGTCTCCTTCTCTGGAGACATTCAAAACCCGCCTGGATGTGTTTCTGTGTGACCTACCCTAGGTGATCCTGCTCTGGCAGGGGGTTGGACTGGTTGATCTTTTGAGGTCCTTTCCAACTTGTAATATTCTGTGATTCTGTGAAATAACAGGAGGAAACTTCTCTCTTTTAATTAGTGCTTTTTTTTCTGTTACAGTGTTCTTTTCTTCTCATCCCTTTCTTTCGTGTTCCCAATTCATTCATGTTAGGTGGCTGTTTTCCATTGTTAAGAAGCCCAGTTTTATCTGCATCACTGTAGTATTTGTCTGCTGACATCTGGTTTTGGTTGATTACCAAAGCTTGAGTTCCATTTCAGAGACATATATACCCTTTTCTTCTCTGTAAATGCTACCTTAGGTTTGTAAGTAGAGTGCTGCTATAGAGGGGCAAGCAATTTTCTTCTAAAGGATGGAGAATTTTTTGCCTAAAATATGAAGAAGATCATTAACTGTTAATTCTTTACAAGTGTTGGAGCAGAATTCTTTAAACTGTGAAACTGTTTATACCAATATGCTCTTTTGGAAAAGAAATCTTTTAGCTTATGGAAATGCATCCTGAATATACTAGTTTTTGTGCTAATGAAATTAAAGATGTTTATGAAAAAAGTTATATTTGAATATTTGCATTTCTTTGCAGGTCACTGATGAACTGTTGGAAAAGATAGCATCAAGAAGCCAGAATATTACTGAAATCAATATTTCCGATTGCCGCAATGTATCTGATACAGGAGTATGCCTATTAGCAATTAAATGTCCTGGACTCCTAAGGTATACTGCCTACAGGTGTAAACAGCTTTCTGACACCTCTATAATTGCAGTTGCCTCTCAGTGTCCTCTTCTTCAGAAAGTGCATGTAGGCAATCAAGACAGACTCACTGATGAAGGTCTAAAGCAGGTAACCACCCATTCCACAAATTTCTTCTATAAATTTAGTGTCTTCCAACTTCTTACCAAGTGGAAAAAGGAACATGGAAGAAGGTATCCTCTTCTAGGATTTAATTAAAAACAGATGATGTTGTCTTCTTTAAAAATTGGTTTATGGACATATTTTCTTGGCTCAGTAAATACTGTTCTCTAGACACTGTACATACTTTCATACTTTTTTTCCTTTTATCCTTATAGAGAGACTAAGTTATCCCTCTTATAATGAAATCTCCAACTTGACATACAGTACTTACCCTCTGGCTGATTGAGTTTTCCTCATCTTAGTTGCTATTTGGAACCAGTGTTTAGATAATTGTTTAGTAACTCTTTTTTGAATCATGCAAGCCTAAGGTGACCAAGACTTTCATTTGTTAGGCATGCAGGAAGGTTTCATCAGCTCTCTCCCTTGTGTTAAAGGAGCATTTAGGGTAAGATGTGAAGTAGTTATGTTAAATTAAGTATGCTGTCAATTGTCTAGCATACCTAGGCATCGTTAGCTACTTATATATATGCCCAATAAATAGCTTAGTTCTTATGTGCTGCACTTAGCTCCATTTTGTTGACTGTAGTTAGCAACTTCATTTTGTTATGTATGTATTTATAAAGTTTCTTTTTTCTGGATGGTATATACAAAACCTGTAAAGAAAGATAATTTTTAAGGGGGAGTGGAGAAGCAGAAAGAAATCTTAATGCACAACTCTTCCATTCAGTCAAATTCTGATGTTTTCTTTCCTTTTTTCTTAAATACCTGCTTTGATTTCATTAATTGCAGCTGGGTTCAAAATGCAGAGAATTGAAAGACATTCATTTTGGGCAATGTTACAAGATCTCAGATGAAGGAATGATCATTATAGCTAAAGGCTGTCTGAAGTTGCAAAGAATATACATGCAAGAAAACAAATTAGTAAGTACATGTCATGTTCTTTTTTTCCCCACAGCATGTTCATTGTCAAAGCTTTCTCTTGCTTTGTGTCTGCTTAAAAGTTTCTTCCGAATAGCTGCTTTTTGTCAACGAATTGCTTAAAAATGTTCTCTAGCTGTGAAAATGTACATTCTACAGACATAGCTCAGAAGATAGCTCAAAGTACAGCTATTCCAGATACATACTGACCTTTGGTTTTGACATGACATTCCAGGAGTAATTGTCTGGGAGAAGACTGTATTGTGTAGGAAAATACTTAGTCCATATGGTATGTTTCTCTTCTTTATGTCAGTATATTTTTCTACAGTAAGAAGTTCAAACTTGTCTAAACTAAAAGATTTTTGAAGGTTAGGTTCCTGATGATGAATAATACAATCTGATAATCTTTTCTTGGAATGTGGCACTTTCCCATCAAGGTGCAGTAGAGTAGTACTCGGCTGTGCTAGTAGAAGGAAGTTGTTAAGGTGTAATAAAACTATTCTCTATCTTAGTTATAAACAGCCTCTGAAATGATGATTTCTAGTGTTGAAAGCCAGTATCTAGTGATGATGGTTGGACATGATTATCTTAAATGTAATTTCCAACCAAAATCATTCTAAGATCTACTAAATGGTACAGTAGAGCACTGGCTTTATTTTTTTTTTTCATTATTTTTTCTTGCAAGTAAGTAGAAAAATTTACTTTCAGTTGAATTCTTAACTAGCAGCTAATGTCAGGGTTATAACCCTTAGTTTGAAAACTGCTGAACTGAAACAAATAAGTTGTGTTTGTAAGAAAACAGCATATGTTGTACTCAGAGTAATTTGATTTTTGGCTTCAAATGAACAAATGGATACTAATGCCCAAGATGGCTCCTTTGAAAAAGGTTTCTATTTATAAAAAACAACAACAAAACAAACCACATTTATTGGTTTTGATCAGAATTGTAGGAATTTGAAAAGTAGGAGATAATGACCAAAATGGAGATCTCAAAATAGTTCAAATGAAGAAAAAAGAGTGTGTCCCTACCTTTGGTAACAAGATATTATATTGAGTACTGCCAAAATTAGTCTGTGTAATCTCTACATTAGTACATGAAAATATTTTAATTTTAAAAAAGCAAGATAAAAGAAAGTTCTGAGAAGCCTGGAAGGAAAATACACTCCTGCAAAAATTGACTGGAGAAAGGTAGGGAAATTCCAAGTTATTATTTATCCTTGAATGAAAAAGGATTTTTGTACGTGAAGATTATTGTATGTATAAATACCAACATAAATGTACGATCATCAAAAAATATATGAGTATAGTGTTGATTTGACCTTCCTTATACTGCTTACCATTGAAGTTTTTATTCTCTTTATAGTCTGAAATGTAATCTAAGAAGTTGACATTACAATTGTTAATGCTTAAAAGTTCTGCAATTTTATTGTCTGAAATGTCATCTAAGTTCTTAGTTGAAATGGGACATAGGAATTATCTTCTTGTTTGTAAGACAGTCAGGAAAGATATTCTTCACTTGCACATACTTTGTTTGCCTTCATTGTTAGAAATGCAACCTTAAATTTTCATTTGAAATAAGAAAAAAAAATGTATTCTTAAATGAATAGGAAACTTGTTTTGGTTATTTCATCACTTCTGAAAATTCGTCAGGTGACTTATCAAAACTAGCCATTTGCACAATTTTTTATGAATAAAGATTTTATTAATGTCTAATTTTATTTAAAGCTGCTGCCCAATCTTAATTTTTCAGGAAAAAATAAACTTGTGTCAAAGTTGGTTTAGTTTTATAAAGTCTGAATTCAGATCCTTAAATCTTGCTCTAGAAATGTAAACATGAAATAAGGTATAAAGCTGTTACGAACTCCAGGGTATAGAAAGCTTTCAATAAAATAACACTTGTATAATTCCACTAGTTGACAAAATTGTAGAAACTGACATGCCTTCCCCTTGCTAGGGGCAAGAGACTTTCTAATCTTGCTGGAAGTATAATTTTGTGTGATAAATCAAGATGACTTGTAAGAAGTTCTCCTGCAGTTGTAAAATAAAAATTTTCACCTTCCAAAATAATAACAAGGAATTGCTTAATGCTGCAGTTAGCTTAAAAGGGTGTAGTGACTGGTGGGAAATGATAATCCACTGTTTGATTTGTCAAATTTTGTGGGTTACTTTTGATTTTAAGACTGCTTTGTAAAGTAAAACCACTGTTAATATTTGCTGTGGCGTGTCTTACTTCCTACTCTTTTGGTGAAGAAGGTGGTTTGGGGAAAGGTATGTGTATATGTGTTTGTTTTCAAAACAAGTAAATGTTCATTCCCTGAAATCAAAATATTGTGTGGCAAGAATCATGTCTTTTTCAGGATTATGTGCAGGAATGAGCCGTCCCTGTGTGTCGGAAAATGAGCTGGC